AATGGAATAGTATTTTAATTTAGTAAAAATTATTATTGGGTTATAAATCAAACAAATCAATTTTTTACTTAAATGTTTACACTGATTAATAAACAAATAATTGGAAGATTTGACGATGTAATAACTATCTCTTAGTTTTGATTGAATTGAATAATGAGTTACATGACATTAAACTCCCTTGAAGTATGATTGAAAGAAGTAAAAGTAACACTCACCACAAGACAGGCCTAGAAAAAAAAAGGATAATTCTATATGTTAAAAGTCAATTGTTCACACCAAGCAAATTAATCTCCTCATCGAAAATATATTATTTATTGGATTTCTGATAATGAAATCCAACCAGTACCACTCCTTTTTTAACTTTTTGAGTGAGAGGTTCAAGAAAAACAAGGAAAGTGCAAAGAAACAACCACTCACTGACCCTAGTTCCTATATATACACACTCAAGGATTGCAACAAACCGGAGCGATGTCATTGTTAAAACTGCGCCTTAGTTGGCTTCCCCTGTTTCTGAGTAGTTTCAAACTCTATATGAATCAGCAAGATAATATTTTTGATAAAATGACAAAGGAAAATGTGGTGAAAAGTCAGTCTCTGTGGCTTATTATTGCTGACGAATTCAACAGACGTGGGAAAATGAGGCATTTGTCTTAAATTATAGCATTTAATAGGTGATATCAATTTAGTTGATCCACATTAGGGTTATTATTATTTAGGGGAACGACTTACACCTACTCAAAGTTTGCTTTAAAGATAAATTAGTATTCAAAAGATTTGAAAATAGCAAATAGATACTTTCGTTACATACTGTCATTGTTTTAAAACCCGGACCGGAGGGCAAACCGTTTTGCTGTCTGGGTCACGGTTCAATCGGTCCAACCGGTTGGACCGGTCGATTGGACCGGTGATGTCAGCAATATTTTATTTTTAAAAAATTACATATTAACCCCTTAAATTTTAATATATTACAAAAATTCCTCTAAAAAAGTTCAAATTGATCCCTAAAATTTTTATTTATTTCAAAAATACCCCAATAAAATTACTAATTAATCCCTAAACTTTTGATATATCTTCAAAATACCCCTATAAAATTACAAAGTAACCCTCATAATTTTAAAATATTTCAAAAACCCCCCTGAGACCTAAACCGGACCGAAGAAGCTACCGGTTCACGGTCCAACCGGTCCGACAGGCCGGTCCGGTCCGGTTTTTAAAACAGAGCATACTGTTAGTGATTTTTATTTGCAAAAAGACAGTAATGATAAAAAAGACTAAAATGCCTTTGAAAGTTTGTTATTTTAGTTTTTTTTATTAATCAACTCATTCAATTACATAAATACCCACGTCATTATGGTGAATTGCAATTATGCCATCAAGTTATCATGAATTAGTGAAATGACCAGCTTGTCCATTTGAGTTTGTAAAAGATAGACACAACAAATGACCATTTTATCCCTATTTTGCTTGCAAATTTTCAAGGTGAATATATGCAAAGAATGCAGAAGAATAAAATTGCTTCTTGTGGCTGAAATTCTTCATGATTTAAAAAAAATCATCCATACAAAAGAACATATTTTGTAATGAAATTCTTCCTGAGTTACAAATAAACAAAAACTGTTTACAAGGAAGATATACAAAAAATGCAGAAGCAATTTCTAAGATGCTTCTGTTACAGCTCCTAAATATTGTGTAAATCTTTAATTGTATTTGTTAAGTTACATCTTCGACAATTTCCTCCATGATTCGTCATTCTGATTTCCAAAAAAGTGTAAACAGACAAAGAGATATACTATAGTTTTCAATAACAAAACAAAAAGATGATAAAAAATTAGAAATATAGCTATAGTAGATAAAAGTCAAGATACAGAACAAACAAATAATAATTAACANCAAAGAATGCAGAAGAATAAAATTGCTTCTTGTGGCTGAAATTCTTCATGATTTAAAAAAAATCATCCATACAAAAGAACATATTTTGTAATGAAATTCTTCCTGAGTTACAAATAAACAAAAACTGTTTACAAGGAAGATATACAAAAAATGCAGAAGCAATTTCTAAGATGCTTCTGTTACAGCTCCTAAATATTGTGTAAATCTTTAATTGTATTTGTTAAGTTACATCTTCGACAATTTCCTCCATGATTCGTCATTCTGATTTCCAAAAAAGTGTAAACAGACAAAGAGATATACTATAGTTTTCAATAACAAAACAAAAAGATGATAAAAAATTAGAAATATAGCTATAGTAGATAAAAGTCAAGATACAGAACAAACAAATAATAATTAACAAATTAAGAAGTATGAATTAGCAAATGAAAGCTCAAATTAAAGCATGCAAACTAAAATTGGATGGAGAATACTAGAATAAGACAATTCTTATTTATGATTCATATTATTGTATTTAAAAATGAGACAAAAATCAATCAATAATATTCCATGTACAATGCATTTAGCATTACAGAAAGTGCTAATTAAAAGTGTAATGATGATTTACAATTAATTAATTCATAGCTTAATTGTACACAGCAAAACAAAACCGGGCAGTCCAGATAAAAAAAAAAAAAAGAAGAAAATTGCCCCAGGCAGCCCACAATCCCAGCCCAAACCCCAGGAAAAATTAGAATAAAGATTCACCTTTTTACACTTACAAGTTGACGACTTGAAACAGCATGTAAAATTGCAGCAGCTTTGACACGTGACTTCCCGGAGCAGCACCAATAGCTGCTGGGACATGGACATGGTGAGTAACATGACACAGAGCACATACCAATAATAATTAACAAACAAACAAAACAGAAAGATAGGAAAGACATATCATAAGAAGTAAAAATAACCAAAAATTAAAAGAGATGGTGAACAAATATCATACAGGAAAAGTCATTCCGTTTTTATACCAACACAACTACTATGCTAACAGGAACAGATGAGCTAACTTATATCTCAGCATGCTTCAACCATTTCGAATTCACATTCAAATTGCATTTGGTTTGAGAATAAACAATTAAACCCATTAACACTAAGATTCTAATAAACAATTAAACCCAACAACATTGAATGTACCATCCTCATCAATAAGCTGAGTTGAAGTGCTTAAATCCAACAACACTAAGATTCTAATAAGCTATTAAACTCAGCAACTTAAGATTCTAATAAACAAGTAAACCCAGCAACATTGTATGTACCGTCCTCATCAATAAGCTGAGTTGAAGTGCTTAGATCCAGCAACATTAAGATTCTAATGCTTCAACACATAAAGTGCTTAAATCCAGCAACATTAAGATTCTCCACTATTCACTGCAGAAGCAAAGGTGTTCACATATTAGCAATTGATCAAATGCACAAATTATTAAACTTCAAATTGTCAGATAAATGCAATAATTTTCGTTGATAAATCATAAATTGCAAAGAATAATAGTAACTTATAACTATTTATCTTTAATCCAAACTGTAAATCATGCCAATCATACTTTATTGCAATTTCACTTCCATGCCCACCTTGTAGACTCCTCCATCAAATGAGTTTAGAAATTAGATTTGAAAGTTCTATATAAAATTTTATTTTCTACACTTAGCAACCAAACATCTAATCTAGTTCCCAATGCAATTAAGGATGTGAATTATGAATTTCAGATTGTTTCTATTCTAGTATGTCATGTGACTTCAATTTATGAGAAAGTAATACACCATGAGCAAGTAGCAATTGGTTGTATCATAAACCGAAAGGGTTTCTGGGTTATTGATGGTTGCTCGGACACATGAAGTTTTCGATAACATTATGTTAACTGAGTACAGAATAAGCCCTCTTGGGGAAATTGTCAGAATGCTCCAAACCGAGGTATTGTTCCCAAGCACCATAAACATCTCTTCTGTTATAACTCAAGCCTAATAAGCAAATTCGCAATACAAAAAAACACAACAAGATTCAAGATCAAAGAATCACACACACACACAATCAAGGCACGAATTTACCGGGGTTCGTCTATCCAATCTTGGATAGACTACATCCACGTTGAGCAATTTCTAAGATGCTTCTGTTACAGCTCCTAAATGGTGTAAATCTTCAATTGTATTTTAAGTTACATCTTCGAAATTCTCCATGATTCGCCATCTGATTTCCGAAAAAGTGTAAACAGACAAAGAGATACTAGGTTTTCAATAACAAAACAAAAAGATGATAAAAAATTAGAAATATAGTATAGTAGATAAAAGTCAAGATACAGAACAAACAAATAATAATTAACAAATTAAGAAGTATGAATTAGCAAATGAAAGCTCAAATTAAAGCATGCAAACTAAAATTGGATAGAGAATACTAGAATAAGACAATTCTTTTTATGTTCAATTATTATGTATTTAAAAATGAGACAAAACAATCAATAATATTCCATGTACAATGCATTTAGCATTACAGAAAGTGCTAATTAAAAGCGTAATTATGATTACAATTAATTAATTCATAGCTTAATTGTACACCGCAAAACAAAACGGGCAGTCCAGATAAAAAAAAAAAAAAGAAGAAAATTGCCCCAGGCAGCCCACAATCCCAGCCCAAACCCAGGAAAAATTAGAATAAAGATTCACCTTTTACACTACAAGTTGACGACTTGAAACAAGCATGTAAAATTGCAGCAGCTTTGACACGTGACTTCGGAGCAGCACCAATAGCTGCTGGGACATGGACATGGTGAGTAACATGACACAGAGCACATACCAATAATAATTAACAAACAAACAAAACAGAAAGATAGGAAAGACATATCATAAGAAGTAAAAATAACCAAAAATTAAAGAGATGGTGAACAAAATATCATACGGAAAAGTCATTCCGTTTTATACCAACACAACTACTATGCTAACAGGAACAGATGAGCTAACTTTATATCAGCATGCTTCAACCATTCGAATTCACATTCAAATTGCATTTGGTTTGAGAATAAACAATTAACCCATTAACACTAAGATTCTAATAACAATTAAACCCACACATTGAATGTACCATCCTCATCAATAAGCTGAGTTGAAGTGCTTAAATCCAACAACACTAAGATTCTAATAAGCTATTAAACTCAGCAACTTAAGATTCTAATAAACAAGTAAACCCAGCAACATTGTATGTACCGTCCTCATCAATAAGCTGAGTTGAAGTGCTTAGATCCAGCAACATTAAGATTCTAATGCTTCAACACATAAAGTGCTTAAATCCAGCAACATTAAGATTCTCCACTATTCACTGCAGAAGCAAAGGTGTTCACATATTAGCAATTGATCAAATGCACAAATTATTAAACTTCAAATTGTCAGATAAATGCAATAATTTTCGTTGATAAATCATAAATTGCAAAGAATAATAGTAACTTATAACTATTTATCTTTAATCCAAACTGTAAATCATGCCAATCATACTTTATTGCAATTTCACTTCCATGCCCACCTTGTAGACTCCTCCATCAAATGAGTTTAGAAATTAGATTTGAAAGTTCTATATAAAATTTTATTTTCTACACTTAGCAACCAAACATCTAATCTAGTTCCCAATGCAATTAAGGATGTGAATTATGAATTTCAGATTGTTTCTATTCTAGTATGTCATGTGACTTCAATTTATGAGAAAGTAATACACCATGAGCAAGTAGCAATTGGTTGTATCATAAACCGAAAGGGTTTCTGGGTTATTGATGGTTGCTCGGACACATGAAGTTTTCGATAACATTATGTTACCTAATTTACAGAATAAGCCCTCTTGGGGGCATTGTCAGAATGCTCCAAACCGAGGTATTGTTCCCAAGCACCATAAACATCTCTTCTCTAAACAAATAAAGCAAAACACAGTTTTAGCAAGCAGAAAATATAAGAACTGAATATTAAAAAAGAAAATGAAACACATCAAAAGTAAACATACCTGGAAATGGTTGAACACGACATCAGAGTCCTGAAGGTAGTTTGGATGATCCAATGACAAGAAAGCAAACTTCCATTGATCAACAAGTAAATGCGAGGGTCAGTCAAAACAAAACCGTCTCTGTTTAGGGTTCGTTGCAGTTCAGTGAAACTCACTCTGCCACTGTCGCCGGTTTCTGTTTCACTGGTCATCGTCGATGTTTTCCCGTTGATATGCTCAAACTCCTTCAAAGACCAACAATGAAAGAGGCACAAATGTTTTGGCTTTTCATTTACTCTAGTATTTGGCCAAAGTCAATGTTGGAACACGTGTCAAATTCTTAAACGAATCTTATAAAAGCAGTTTTGGTCCATTAACCGAAAACAATATTTAAAATTTAAAATTTAAAATTTTTGCAGCTGTACATGAAATTACCACACTGCCCTTTGGCAGACGAAAATCACTAACCGGAAGGTATCTATTAAAACAAACCTTTTGGATACCTATTTGTCTTTACGATAAACTTTCGATAGATGCAAGTCGTTCGGCCTACTATTATAACAATATTCATATAAATCCTTTACATGCTGAAGCGGCATTATTCAATTGAACCTTTATTATTGGTCCCATTTATAAAAAAGGGGCCCCATTGATATGTACCAACTGCTATCTTTCAGTCCTTGTTCAGGAAATGAATAGTAATAGTTCATGATCTATTAATCAATAAACTTATTCAGGCTTGTCCATTACTTAGTCAAAGCAAGCCTGAGTTAATCGCTAGCATTTATTGGCCTAGTGAAGAAGAGAATGTGTAAGCTCCTTGGCTTCTGGTCGAGCTGGGGAAGCAACATGTTGAAGTTTCATATTGTTAAGACCAATCCTTCAACCTCAAACATCATATCATATTAATATTGCCATTTTCATTTTCATCATTAATCTATGTACTTCTCCTGTGCTTCCATTTTGAAACGTTCGTGTCTGCAAATGCTTTAGTAATCTCTAATGCTATATCCTAATGTGTCAATATAATGTTCTTCCAGATTGACAGACCCAAAAGGTGGTCCATTTGAAGCCGAGGTGGCAGAGTTCTCCCTCCATCGCCCATATATATTGTTATGCTTGAAAATAAAGGGCTGATGCAAGACTTAGTCAGCATAAAAACTTAGAGCCTAGGTAGGCCCGCAGCCACTTAGATGTAGTCACGTCGCGTGGTGACATAAGCAGTACACTGTCAGTAAAGTAGGTGCGCGCCAGACCAGCCAGAAGCTGTGGTGATCCCACGTGTCTAATCCCTGCACCAAATCGCGTAAATCACTCTAGAAGGCGAGCAATGTGACATAAAGAAGGACTTGCACAGATAATCCCACCAACTCACAAATTCAATAATGATAACCTTAATCCATCCCACTATAAATTAAGAGCTCTTCTCTCATTTAAGGGATTAGCTACCCTCTCTCAAGAATATACCGCATTCTCTCTCTTGTACTATCATTTGTAAGTCAGTCCGCTAACGCGACTTGACCTCTATCATTAATACAAAAATCAGTGGACGTAGGACTTGCTTCCTTAGCATTCGAACCACTTTAAACGCTTTTCCCACTGCATTTACTCTCATTTTCTCATATTCACATGTATCTTCTTGGCCTGCTCAGCATTTCACACGTGCATTTCGTTAGTGTCAAAATCATGCATCAACAGTTTGGCGCTAGAAAGAGGGCCTAATTTAGTGTTCATCCTTCATCAGGAGAATCTCTAACTTACTGGTCCTACAACAGCAAATGGCCGCCAACCTGAACCTGACCGAACCAACCAGGGTGCTGAGGGGATACCCCAAGTCCAGGAGGGACACCTTTTCCGAGATACCTTCGGTTCCGTAAAATGTTGCGGGGGATATCCTATCAAGTTCACAACTTGACCCTGCCATTAGAAGCTACCTGGAGAGGTTTGACAATACTCTCCAGACGGTTAACCGAAGGTTGGACCGTTTAGACCAAGGCGTGCCACCCAAATCAGCTGGGGCGGTGCAACCGCCAAAAACGCATGTAGGTTACGCAGCGCAAAAACGCGACAAGGGGAGATAGCCCGTGCCGCGAGCACTACAGCGCGTCAACGAAAAGGTAATCAAGTGATAAAAAAGGGGCCTACGGGCTCCAAAGGGCCAACGAACACTGACAGCGTCTCGAACAGAATACTAGTGGCGTTAAGACTCGATGAAAGAACGCAGCCCGAGCTGTCCCATGCCACGTCGCAGGTACACCCCCATAAAAATGTTGGGCGGGGCGATTCTTATCACCGCCAGCAAAACGATCCTGATCGTCATCGTGCGGGAGGTTCCCACATTCACGGGGCAGTTCGTACCACCGCGAAGGTCGTGAAATACCCTACATCATTCATCACCATCACACAGCTCTAGCCAGCGTGTGTTAAAAGCAGCTAGAACCGCCGGTCGAGGCGAAGAGGAATCCGACCTTCGAACTTTCCTTAATCATAATTGCGAGAGTCGAACTCGCATGAGCGAAAGCAATCCCCAAATGGCTCTACTGCCTCAGATTGAGGAAATACAGCGAGCTCTAGATCGACTAAGAGCTCAGCAAAATGAGCAAGGGCAGGTCGCGTCTGCGTCCCTCTTCTCTCCCGAAGTGCCGGCCGTTCCACTCCCATAAAGATTCAGGATGCCTGATATGCGGGCGTTTGATGGAAATTCTGATCTGCAGGATCATTTATATGAATTCAACGACCTGATGAAACTTCACCAAGTCTCAGATCTAGCAAAATGTTGTTGTTTGGCAGTGACTTTAACCTCTCATGCCAAACGGTGGTTTAGGTCACTTCCAGTGGGATCGATCAGTTCGTGGCCTCAGATGAGCGTGACGTTCCTGAGGCACTTCCAACCGAACCAAAAATTCTCAATGCCTTTCAGCTACCTCAGCAATATAAGGCAAGAAAGGGATGAATCCCTCCAGTCTTACATCGATCGTTTTCACAGAGAACTCAACAAGGTAGCTCATACTCCCGAAGAGTCTGTTTGGACTCTCAACATAGCAGGAGTTCGTCCACAAACCGACTTGTGGAAAGAACTACAGGCTGAGGACGATGTTTCCCTAACCCAATTCTATAACCTTGCGGAGAAGTACCTCCGGATTGAAAATTCAGTGGCAGGGCTCCACCGTCGTGACCCTGGCGCTTTAGGCAGTACCTCTGGTCAGGGGGAAAGTAGGAGAGCTGATCGCAGATGGGTTACTGACGATCAACGAAAAGGAAAGAAACCTCGCTATGAGCCCAAAAAGTATTATGCTCCTATTCCTCGTCGCGATTGCGACATAAATCAATATACGCATTTGAATGCATCTGTATCGGCTATTCTTGACAAATTAGAAGAAGCCAGCCTGCTCGGGGAGCCTGAGCCCATGAAAAATCCACCGTCAGCCAAAAATAGTAAAAAGTATTGTCGCTTTCATCGGGACAACGGGCATCACACCGATGAGTAACGAGCTCTCAAACAGAAAATCGAAGACCTCATCAAGAAGGGGCATTTCAAAGAATATATTGACGACTCTACTCCCGCACAAGAGAAAAGTCAAGGGGAACAAGGAAAGAAGCGTCATGATCGCAAAGGCATATGCAGTGTCAACATGATCTTGGGAGGGCCGCACCTCGCGGGGAACATGTGAGGTACCCAGGAAAGATATGCTCGCGTGGCTCATCACGACCTTATCAGCGTGATGAGCACGACGCAACGACTACAAAAGGTTTGCAGGGAGGAGGAAATTACTTCTCCGAAAAGGATGCAGCTCATTTGCATCATCCCCACGACGACGCACTTGTAATTACACCCCTCATAGGGCGCCATAACGTCCACAGAATGTTGGTGGATAATGGAAGTGCTGTGAACATCCTGTTCTAGACAGCTTTCGAAAGAATGAACTTGGACGAGGCCGACCTGAAGCCCACCTCGATTCCCATGTATGGTTTTACAAGGGACCACCTGATCCCCCAAAAGAACAATCTTGCTTCCAGTCATGCTAGATGACTTTGACGAAGTGACCAAGGTTATTGAATTCTTGCTAGTGGATTGCCCATCCGCTTTTAATAGAATCCTGGGGCGACCTCTGCTGAGAAACTTCAAGGCAGTCACTTTGATATACCATCTGAAGATGAAGTTCCTCACTCCAATGGGGATAAGGGAAGTTAGCGGATCTCAACACGTATCTCGCGACTGTTATGTAAAAGCAGTGTAGATGGCGTGCAAAAGGAAGGGTATCTCGCATGGCATTCCCCGACAGGCTATGGCAATCAGCCGGATTGAGCCACAGCGTGGTCCAACTGAGGATAGTATGGATTATCGAATTCAGGAATGCCCTTCCAGTGGGCTAGTTGAGGATCTGTCCGAAGTATCGGTCGACTTGAGCGAGCCGAGCGGAGTGTTAAGGATTGGGAGCAATCTCAACCCCCAGCTCGCCTCCAAGCTGACTAGCTTCCTCAAAGAAAATATCGATGTGTTCGCCTGGTCGCATGTAGATATGGTCAGGATCAGCCCGGATATCATTTGTCATGGGTTGAACATCAACAACGAAGCCAAGCTAGTTCGCCAAAAAAGAAGAGCGATAGATCCAGAGCGATATGCCGCCTTAAAGCTAAAGGTGGATAACCTCATTCGAAACGGATCCATCTGAGAAGCGCTCCACCCGACCTGGGTTGCTAACCCGATTCTAGTGAAGAAGTCGAATGGCACATGGCGTACCTGTGTCGACTTCACCGACCTCAACAAAGCATGCCCGAAAGATAGCTTTCCCCTGCCTAGAATCGACCAGCTCGTGGATGGCACCTCGAGGCACGAGCTGCTAAGTTTTATGGACGTATACTCGGGATATAATTAAATTTTGATGTACGTGCGCATCGGATGAAGAGCATACATCCTTTGTTACAGATCGGGGACTGTACTGCTATAGAGTTATGCCCTTCGGCCTCAAGAACGTTGGCGCGACCTACCAACGATTGGTTAACCGGATGTTCTCTGAACAAATCGGTAAGTCAATGGAGGTCTATGTAGATGACATGCTGGTCAAATCTAATGTTGCTTTAGATCACATAGCACATCTCGCTGAGATGTTTTATATCCTCCGACTATACAGAATGAAGCTAAACCCCCTCAAGTGCTCGTTCAAAGTATCATCGGGAAAATTCCTAGGATACATGGCTAACCAACGGGGAATAGAGATCAACCCCGAGAAAATTCAAGCTCTCCTT